CGAATAAAAAGGTGTCTCACAGAAACAGGGGCGGATTTATTCATGAACCGTTTATAAAACCGTCAATATTCCAAAAGACTAATTTCGTTTGAAATAATTCTTTGGACGCCCAACATTTTTTTAAGAATAATTCGTTGGACGCCCAACATTTTTTAAGTTGGGATATAATAAAATTTATTTTGCTTCGGGATATAATAACTCTTCAGACTCGCGATATTATTTTCAAATTTTTTCGAAGTGTACATGTAACGTTTTAATTGTATTTTAATTAAACGAAAAACGACCCTTTCATGTATATGTAAGTAGATCTTTTATAAAATTAAAGAAGGGATAAATGTAAATAGATGAGTGACAACTCTGAAATATCTTTACACAAGACAGTAATTTAAGACTAGAATACACAATCAGAATAAAATAATTTGACGTAATGAGAATTATCTTGACGTTACAGAACAACGATATATTCTTTATTACTAAAATATCCAACATGATAAACGTACTAGAAAATTCGAATTTCATAGAGATCAGGGTACTTCTAATATTTGTCTTTTATTTCGTTTATGCAAGCCCTAAAGGTCAGCTTCAGGCTCCTCCGAGACGTCATTATCCGCCCCTGCGCGGAAAGAGGATAATCCTCATTACCGCGAGATATGCGCAGCTTGAGTCCGATTAACGCGACGAGAAAAAGGAGGGCCGCAGGGACCTGAAGGGCAAGAAAGGGCCCCACTGCGGGGACCGGCTACAACCGCCCCACACCCGCTCGTCGACGACCGCTTCTTACGCGTGAAACACCCGCGGTGACGCGCGCACGCACATACGGCTCTTTCTAATACGGGGCACAAAAACGTAAGCACTTATAAGAGGCGTCGATTATTCCACGTGATTACCGATTTCCGACCAGTTAACGACTTTTTCGAGTCGCTTATATCGCCGCGCTCGGACGCTTATTACGAGTCATTACCGCATGTATCCCGCTTGTTGCCTTTAAATTTCACGGCTCGAATCGGCATCGATCCCTCGCCGGTGTATTCATTCCAAAATCGAGATCGAAACACGCAAGCTCTTAATTGACGTGTCTCACTCTCTTATCTTTGCGTCGTTGCGTAGAAATTATTTCGCAATGTTTTATTAACGTGTCATTGATTGACGGAAAAAAAGAACAATTTTGCTGAAGTACTTAAAACATTTAGCTGGATGCAGATCTAAAAAAAATTTTGCTGTACCATCGAAATAATTATATATAGGAAGCTCGACACTGTTAAATTTTATACCTCATTTGAATTATTTTTTTAAATTATTTTTATTGGTCGCCACTTCTACTCAATATATCGTTAATTTAACTAAATCTATCTCAAGAAAATGTATTAAGTGTTTGACTCTATTTAATTTAATTTATTATTTACTAAGTACATACATCAATATGAATGTATTTTCTTTTAAACTAATTACAGAATTGGATTGATGTATATACAATTTGAAACATAGAAGAATTTTATTATTTTCATTGAAAATAATAAAATGTTATTTTTAACTCAGGGAATTGGATTACCATATACAGCACAGGTAATTGTTAGTGTTTTTTGCAACATTTTTTGCAATATTGCTCATTATGCTTAAGTGCCTTATATAATTATTTCGATGTGCCAACAAAATTATTTTCAGATCTGTGCCTAGCAAAATTTTTAGATTTTTCGCAAAATCAGTTTTTCCATTTTTCTTAAATCTATACTTCGTAACTCGAGTTTTTGAATTTTCTTAATTGTTGATATAATGAAAAATATACGGTAATTTTCTAGAAAATTATGCTTTTCTCTTTTTTCTTATCGAAATAAATGATTGCCATAATTCTTGAAGCATGCTCAT